GAGGAAAATGGACAGACATAATCAGTCGAATTGAAAACACTTTGTTTCATACAGATTAATAATTGAAACCCTAAGTTCAATGAAAATTTGTGAGTTACAACTTAGAAATAAAAAATAAAGAAATATTTTTATTTAACTGTTCTTTCGTTTTTTTTTTTGACGTTTTATTAGAGAAACAAGTGAGAAGGTCAGCTTGAGGGTGTGGGTGTGGGATGTGGGTATGGAGTGTAGGTGTGAGTGCGAATGTGGGTGTGGGTGTGAGTGCGAATGGGGTTTGGGTATGACTGCGATTGAGTGTCACACCCACACTCCGCACCCTACACCCCACACCCCACCCACACCCACCCACCCACACCCCACACCCACACCCTCAATCAGGTTTTCGTTACAGCGTTACGTTTATCTACCTTAATATGCAATATTTTTGAGAAAAAAAAGTAGTGCATCAGAATCCCCATGAAAAGTTAGTTATGGTCCATTAGTTTGTTTATCAATATTCTCTAAGTGGCTGACAGAAATTTTAAAATAAGGGTCTTTTCGTAAAGTCGTTACAGTGATATTGATCAAGTATTGTTTTCATAATAATATCTCAATGTGAAGAAAAGGAAACAAGTTTATTGTTTTGTCAAAAGAAAGACCGTACTTGATAGTTTACAAACTATTTGATAGCTGGGGTTCGGAGCTAGCCATTAAAGTGCATGCTTAGTTTCAAAGTAAGATAGAAAACATGGCAAAAGACAACATTGAAATTAACCCTTAATGTATACGTTTTTAAAGACTCACAAAAATAATTTTTCTAATAACAAAATACATTTTCTTACACTTTCAAGTTTTCTCTACGTGGCATAATCGTTTATTTAGAATTCTGAAATACTTCATGTGTGAAGTGTCACGTTACGTGGACAAGCCGTATTAAAAACTCGTTGCTCAAAAATGTTTTATCAAAAATATTGAAAATTTTTGTTGCTCTTGCCCTTTGCTTACTGTCCACTGTTCTAGGTTGGGTTGGGTCAGGATCAACCCATGGACGCTCCAACCCAATGGATACCCGCACCAATCAAATCCATTCGACATCTCTGATTTTTTAAATAATCAAAATCTTATAGATTTTTATTTTTCATATTTCTAAATAAACATTTTTCAAATAAAATCATTTTGAGATGCATCAAAGTTCTTTTTCCCACAAGTAACATATAGAACGAGTTGTTTCTTTTTTTATTTTATTTTACACATCTTTTATTTCACGTTAATCCACCTACTTCAAATCAGTTTTATTTACAGATTTAAAGAATAAATTTTCGTATCAGGAAAATAGTCTTTCAACTGCTTTGAAATCGATATATTACGAGGTAACTGTACATCAAGTAATTTAGCACAATTGATTCGTGTTGTATCTCTTGTAAAATTGTTTGTTACTCTATCCAAAGTTGAAAAGTAGACTTGAAGGTTGAGCTTTGTTGTTAAACACGTTTTGATATCCAATAGAAATTGCTCCGCATAATCATCATGAGCATGAAACAAATCAACTACACTAAGATAAGGATATTGAATAACGGATAAATGTCGATTATCATCTTTTGATTGTTCATCAAATTTGTTCTTCTGCGGTTTATCATTGTATACAGTTAATTGTTCCATGAATGGGAAAGATTTAGCAATTTTCA